GATTGAACGCAAACTTTTTTCACTTTAGAAGAAGAGGATGTCTACCTACATAAAAGTATATGTTTTATCACGTATTTTTCACGTGATGTTTCGCGGCCCCAACAGCTATCCAATAGTTTTTCAATATAATTGAAAATAATATACTAGCTATGAAGATGTGTGACGCAATTGAACACTGTCGAAGAAATATTGAAAAATTCAAATTGAGAAATGAGTAGAATATCAAAAATGAGTTAAAGACACTGATAATTTCCCTAACCACAACAGAAACTTCTCCCTAATTTTTTCTTACCGTATCTTCACAGGGCATAATCAAAAATTAACTAATATAAATATTGATGCAGAGATCTTTTTTGTGAAAATCTTCCTGTTCACACATTCTGCATAGAGGTGTGTCCACTAGCAGCATATTGTGGACGTGTTTCCTTAGTTGACAGTGGCTAGTCAAATATCCTACTGTTAAGCGTAGATTTTTCCTGGTTATCGCCATATATTTCTTCAGCGCCAGCTTCCCAGGGTCGCCAAGGGTGATCCTGGCAAGATTGCATCCTTTGATTTCATCCCATCTTTTTAGCTACTTCCGCAATTGTCGAAGTCATCAGGCCTTAGTGCAGCCGCTTCCTTGGCTGAAGAGTCGGCAATGCGATTATCATTACTCCTGTCGTGTCCTTTAATCCACCTCAGGATAATGTTATTATCTACCGGCTAATTCTACTGCTATTATCTACTTTGGCTAAATCTTGGTGGCACTCCAATACTAGCCCTGAGATAACACGTTATGTGTTAAAGGCTAATAGGACTTGTCTGCCATCAGTGTAGATTGTTATGTTTTTGCCAGAAAGACATTGTAGTAAAATCACATGAATCATACATTCTCAGTCTCAAATTGGGTTGAACACTTATCTCAAATTCTTCATAGTAATTTGAACAACAAATCAAAAAAATTATGCATGTTTTTTTTAATATTGGACGTTCCTGACATAATGATTATTCACAAGTGTTTCCTTCAAATTCGAACAAAGTATCAATATTTAAACTTACTATTTAAGTACATTAATTTCAAACCTCTTCGTTTTATAGTCCTGTCCTGATACGTAGATTTCGAGCAGTTTGAAGTAGATTTCGAGCAGTTTGAAGTACAACGGACCAAAATGCTTGGATATTTTTGTAATATGCGATGCTGTTGTAGCTGTACATGGTTTGCTACCCAGCTAATGCCGCACAGAAAGCTGTAATGAAACCATCAGGCGCTTGTGCCTGATGGTTTCACTTCAGCATAATTGTTTTTGTTAACTAATACAAAGATATTATCTACATATTCTCCGAAAGAGTTTTCAAACAACTGTTTATTGTGCGTATTTCATTTTGTAATTCTCCATGTGATTTCATGAAATCATCGTGAAAATAATAGAATAATAAATCTATTTACTGTATTATAATCGCCTCATTACATATATCCAATAAATACCCTCCCGAAGCAAACTGCAAATTTTCAACTAGGTATAGACAATTCCAAGTCGAGTCACGTCTGACACACCCTGGACCGAGCTGAATTTCCAACATAAACGTCCGAGCAATTTTTCATTTTCAATTTTCAGTGTATTATGGGGCGGACCAACCTCCGAGAAAGCGGTAATGGCCTGTCAACATGTGGCCGAAATGTAGATCTCCGCTGTTGCGAATTTATGAAATTTTAAATTTATTCAAGAGATTGATTTTCTCTCACAATTGTTTACGGAAAATTGTTCTGCAATCTTGATATTTCAACAATTATCTCAAATAAGAAATTTGACATTTCACAGGGTTTTCTGAATTGCTATTCTTCAACAAGAATCATCTGTGAGGTTGGCCTGTATGAGAAAACTTGCATGAATTGGTTTTTTCCTTACAGTTATTTGCATACTACTACTGCTTATAATGTATATTTTTTTCAATATTTTGGTTTTCTTAGTGTATCTATTTTTCCATGGCACGCTCATCTACAGACCACATCTTCATTGTAGGAAAAATATTATACAATATCATGAATTATGCGTCGACTGCATCAAGTTTAGGTGATCTTTCAAAATAATTAGAAGTCATTTTGAAATTTGTATGATTTGATGAAATTTTGAAATATCGAGAATTTTCATCTTAAATTATCGAACACGAAAATTTTGCACGTGTTTTGATATTCAGTGGTATATTCAAAAATGTGTAATTTTCAATTGGACGATCAAACGCCTTTCTCGTTGATCATGAATAATTATCAATTCGACATTTCGTAATACTTACTCGTCATACTTTTTTAATTTTATAATCGACAGTTCAAACTATCGATTAACTATCATCGAACGTTTAAACTGACGATTACCTTAACAGGCAGATTAAGGTGTCGATTATTTATAATCGACAGTTTTAACTGACGACTAGCTATACTCGACTCGATATTCAAAATCGAATCAGTTTTTTCCATTTAGTTTGTTCTCCAAACTTTCATTGTGAAATTGAATCAGATATTATTCTCATGAACGATACACAATATAATATATGAAATGATTTCGGAATAAGACACGGGTCTTCTCACCTCATCAGCACCGTTCTGGACAATATTACAAGATAGGGCACACATTTTATTCATAATATTACGAATTCATGTCACGAGTGAGACAAATCTATTATCATGCCCACTATGACAGAACGTAAACACATTCATACGCTGATTTTATTTTATCTTAGCCACAGGAATCTTGTTGAAATTGAAAGGGTATATATTTAGTTATAATCTTAGTTTATGCGAAAAAATCCTTCTAGCTTTCTCCCTCCACCTCTATACAACAAATTGTTGGAAATTTACAAAGAAAAAAAGAAATCAATGGAGTTCAAAATTAACTATTTACAAAGATTCGTAGATCATGAACTTAATTGCTTTCTTCCTTCCTTTGGAAGTTTTCCACAATTTTGGATTGTTCTATTAAATTGCTCATGGATTTTATTAAATGAACTTAAACGTTTTCCTCAATCATTATTATTATATAACTATTCACATAACTTATTTTATGATAGATACGAACAAGTATGTCATTTTGTCTACAAAAATCATAAATATTAGCAAATATCCAAAAGCAAGCACTTGTTCTAAACGCCAGAAATGCAATACTCTTCTCGACACCAACCAAGTTGGCATTATCAGGGGTTGAAGAAAACTTGGTTGATGAAACGCGCGCCGAGAATAGTGTTGCATTTCTGGTGAGTGGGAGAAGTATTTGTTTTTGGGTTCATTCTATATGGAAGATGTTTCAGTTTTACCATTCATTAGCAAATATTTAAAATTATAATTATGACATTACTTTGTCCACAAGATTGTATATCTTAATTCATTTGAAATATTCATATTGTATTTACAAAATATTTACTGGTTTTACTAAGGTTGAAGTAGTATATATATCATCAAAAATCAGTTGTTCGGTTCGGAGCATTACGGAAAATAAGAGTAGCTTACATTTTCAGTGTTCTTTATGGTGAATACGTTTTCAAAGTATTGATGATAAAACTGAAAAAGTCACTAGGTATTTCTCCCTTTCTTTATCTCTTCATTGGGTTATTTCAAAAAATCGCAACTCAGATCTATAATATAAATTGTATTTATATACGGTTTTGAACAGATCTAAATTTGATTTCAGTCAGAAACGTACACTCAACAGTAAACATATTTTCACACATTCATGCTATAAATAAATTCTATATTTCCAATAACAGCTGTCGTTCCTTTACGGACGACATCCTTCGGAAGTCAAAACTTGTGCGAGCTAAAAATCAATGAGGTCTTATCTTTCAACGTGCGATTCCAGGCAAATCCAAAAACTGCTCAGATTAAGTTTGATGACGATTTGCATGTCAAATAATTCAAAAAAAACTCAGCAAACGATCATATAACAATCATTTTCATTTCATTTCGGTCGTCTGAAATCATAATGATTCGCACCTCAGCCCTTTAAAAATCAAATCTGGCAAATATTACTGTTCTAGTTGATGTGAATGGTTTATAGACAGTCATTTCTATTTTATTTCAACGATCTGAAAAATAATGTGCATCGACAGTGGTGAAACCAATAGGAAACAGATACAATTTCCGTCTCCTCGAGCGTCCGGCAGAAACAGGACACCATTTAACCGAATCACTCGTGAAATTATCTTGCCAGAACAATAGCCGTCGTTTGAGAAAGAAGCTGCACGGATCATACCGTGCCCGTCATTATAATGTCACTTCCGCTTGTCTTAGGTCATGTTTGACCTCGTCGAGATGTTCAGCTACCCATACATCCTAGCAGTTATCGTGGCCCTTCGATAAAAATTCGCAGCTGAAATGGAAAAATATGATATTTCTTCGGTTCATTCCAACAATGACTCACCTATGAATTTTTTGAATATAATTGAATACCAATTCGGCCTCGCTTTCTAGTTGGGAAGGCTATTTCTAACATTTTCAAATGAATCCTAATCTATTGATTTTATGAGAAAATGTATAATGTACATGTTTACAGAATTGCCACAAAAATGTTGATGTGATAATTTTCGATATTTAAAAAATTCGTGGAAACTCGACCACTGTTGACAAAATAGTCAGCCGATTCCTCGGGTTTACCATTTTTGGTCAAAAGTTGCTAAACTATTTGAGTTACAAAAAACGTTTTTCACTATTTTAACAAAACTCAGATTTATTTTTGATAATCTCTGACTTTCACCATATGTTTTTGGAATCAACAAAAAAGGTTCTTTGGTTCTTTTCTCTATCAATTTTTTGAAAAATTTGTCCTTTGTTGAAGTTAATCAAGTCGTTTGATAATTTAGGAGTAGTTTCTTAACAATTCTTTGGGGGAGAGGGGGATTATGAAAAAAAATTGTTTCATAAATATTTCCCGTACTTTTTTCAAAGTCATACGATAATATGTTTAAACAAAATAATTCTTTGTTTCGTACCTATTTCGCAAGCCGCGCTCTAAATCATTTTTTTGTTTCAGAACCTAGCAACTACGTTTGTAGTACCTGCAAAGCACGCCTGCATTCGGCTTGGAGACTGGTACAACATGTTCAGCACGCACATGGAATCAAAATCTATGTAGAAAGTTCCCCTTCAAGTTCAAAAAGCGGCAACAACAATAATCATAGTGCAAGTAGCACGACAAGTAGTTCTTCAGGGTGTTCATCTGGTGGTGGCATACCACCCCCTCCTCCAAATATGAGACATCACCTGCTGCCCCCTCCTGACATGCACAATCCATTTGGTGTGGGAGGTTTACTGAGGCTACCTTTACCGCCTCTGAATCATGGCCCAGTTCCACCAACGCCACTTTTTTCACGACCCGAACATCATTACCGGATAGACCAACTAGTGAGCGAGCAATTTCGCCACCACGGATTGAATTTGGCAGCGGCTGCTGCTGCGGTTGCTGCAGGAAATGTTCCACCACCTCCGCCTCATCCGAATTTTCCATCGCCAGCTGAGAGAGTCAGTTCAGTGAACAACTTACCGCCCAGAGACAGGAATACTCCTAATCAAGCTCTTTCTTTAGAACCACAACTGGATTTTTACTCACAGCGGTTGAGGCAATTGGCAGGCACCACCAGCCCGGGAGCGGCGCAGGCGAGCTCGCCGTCACCCCGCAAGCACTCACCGCCTTTCGCAAGTCCTTCCCCTTCTCAGTTGCCGCCAACTTCTATCCCCAATAATACCAGTTCTGGTAGTAGTAACTTCAATAATAACAACAATAACAACAGTAGCAATAGTGGAAACAGTAGCAGACCACCCAGTACATCTCCCCCTAATAAAGGGGAGGAACAGCTCATAAACACTCCCCGGTCAGCGTCAACTCCACCTGGCAAACCGGGATCACCTAGAAATTCGAATTCTGCTGATGCAATTCACGCTTGTGATTACTGTGGTAAAAAATTCCGTTATCTGAACAACCTAGAAGTTCATCGCAGAGCTCATACGGGAGAACTCCCTTATAAGTGTACAGTCTGCGATCATGCTTGTGCTCAGAATTCCAAACTCAAAAAGCATATGAAAATACATAGGACATCAGTAGATCGAACTAGTAATGCTGGCTCTGTAGAGACTTTGGATGGTGACGATAGCGAGGATGAAGAGCTGGAAGATGAGGAAGAGGATGAGGAAATCGACGAAGAGGAAGCGGAAGATTTGAGTTTACCCAGTCAGATTCCAAAAAACGCTGCGAATCCATCAGCTTCACTGGTCGGTGAACTGATGGATAAATTTGGATTCAACAATATCGCGCAGTATAGTGAAGCTTACAAACAAGCATTACAAGAGTCTAACACAGCCATGAAACTTCATTTAGCAAGTAAAGATCGTGACAATAACAATACAAGTTTATCTAGCCAATTAAAAATGAGGGAGGATTTTTCCAAAGGAATGCTGCCTGGTCCACCACCCCAGCCGCTTCCGTTATTCCCCCCGTTCAATGATTCCTACGACACATCTAAGAGACTGAAGTTAGAGTTAGATCGAAACGATTGGTGGCTACCAGGTTTAACCCGTGATTCTAAAGGAGGTATACCAGGGCCTAGTGCACTTCTACCAAACCCTCTAATGAAGAAGGAGTCCAGGAGAAATGATACTTGCGAGTACTGTGGTAAAGTGTTCAAGAACTGTTCTAACTTGACCGTTCACAGAAGATCACATACAGGCGAAAAACCCTATAAATGTGAACTATGTTCCTATGCATGTGCCCAAAGTTCCAAACTAACAAGACACATGAAAACGCATGGTCGGATAGGCAAAGATGTGTACAGATGTAGATTTTGTGAAATGCCGTTTTCAGTTCCGTCTACTCTAGAGAAACATATGAGGAAATGTGTGGTCAACCAAGGAAAAGGTCACTTACTCAGCACGTTGCCCTTGTTGTCGGGAGATGAAGATTCGTCTACAAGTATCACTTCTAAAGAGGCAGTATGACTCTATCCGTGGGGTGGTATGAGATTGCCCCCGCCACCTCCAAGTTTAACGTACTAGTCCCAATAAACTATTTGAAAGAATTGTTATTGTGAAAAGTGATTTGCCTCTGTTGGAAAGTCTGGTGAAATTTGATATTTCAGTGACCTTGACTTGCAAATTGAACTTGGAAAATCGCATTGGTAGTTTGACGAATATGGTTATTTCAGTAAACTTATTAATCAAATTATTTTGTTGACGTCAACGACTATGCTGTGTCCACGTTGAAAAGGTATAGATCTTACCTTAAAAATTTCCATATTTGTAATACCCATGCATTTTTCCGTATTTTTTGAATGACTTATCTTTGTATATTATTACTTGAAAATTATTCCTGAACTACAGAAAATAGGAATACGATCATGTTGTTCTTTGTAACCGATACCAAAGCAATGTTTAACTTTTTCTTATTGATTGATTATTGAGTTTATTGATTAATTATTACTTGTAAATTTGTAATTAAATTTATATTTTGAGACTGAGGGTTGCAAGATTGGGTTAAGTATTATGTTATATAAGTAAAGACAGTTAGGCGTCGAACCTCCGAACTTACAGCCCCACTGTACATTCCCTATCATATCGTTTTTTGGCCAGTATACGCTGAGTTTGTATATATTTTATTTATTATATGTTCGGTTAGACCTACTGTATCATGAAATGAATTGTTCAATATATAATGTTTCCCGGTGTCACTCTCAAATGTGTTGTATAATTGATGATCCCAAATCATCGCTTCACTAATATATTTTTTGTATGCAGAGTAATAAAAGCTACTTCACAAATATTTTCAATTCACTAAAATGTCACCATCAGTTGAACATAATTTCGAAAGGACTTCATTAAGAATAAAAACATATGTACAATTTTGCAGCTATCCAGAAGTTGAATTTTTATTGATTATGTGATTAGTATTTCATTGAGGATACACTATAAAAACTATAAAAATATATTTTTGTCTATTTTCCACGATAGTTTTATATTTGTTGACTAAAAAGTGATTTGCGAGTATATTTGTTTATATTTGTTGTTCTGTGATTTGGGATTAACAACGGCACAATATCGTACTTCCTGTACAAAAAAATGTTTATGGACTTAAATGTGTTAGATATTTGACTTAACCTTATAACAGGGTTATAATAAAACTATTTCAGGGTTAAAATAAATCAATTTTGAAACAAATAATGAATTTCTATTTGCTGTTTCATACTGAGTTATTGCAATATTTAGTCAAAAAGTGGACCAGGGTCTTCAGTAGAACAGTATGTCTCTGACGAGAAAATCGAAACTAAGTGTAACTATTAATGTTTATATGTTATTTCAAATATTTTAATTTATTTGAAAATATGGCTGTAGCACTTTACGATGTTCGTATGGGCTACACTGTACTTAATATCAATGTGTTCCTATACTGACATCACTTTTCAGTGTGTGTTTAAATTAAATCTATTACAACCGACTGTTTATGTTTCAATCATATCATACACCTAAAAGTTAAGTAACCAAACAACCACAAATAATGGAATATTACCGTTCATATTGAAAAAAAAAATTACAAAATATAATCATTCATGTGTTCTGTCACTACAAGGTCATCTCATAATCGACATCATTTTTCTGTTCTTTCATAAAAGATTCATCATTGCTCACTACTGAGATGTGTGATTGTGAATAAAATTAAAAAGTGACTGACCAATGAGATCGTCATCAAATATTTTTACAAATGCTCACTTTCATTATTTCAACCCACTAATCAGTAATAAACTACTGTAATAGGTATAAAAGAGTGATGGAAGCCCTACCTTGATAATACATAAATAAAGAAAGTAAAGTTAGAATCCACAGATGGTCATTCTTCAAATAACGAACTATTATTAACGAAACGAGTACAGGGTTACATTCTCTAAATGAAAAAAGCTTCAAATGATTTCTGGAGTAAAATGTATCAAAACTTGAAAATCCTTTTTTTATTTATTAGGTTGATTCACGTCATATTGATGTATTTATACTTATGATGCACTGTTTGGAACCTTTGGTGTTGTAATGAATATTACTGGAGTTTTTTCCCAACACCAAGCTGATTAACGGAAAAACAGATTTCAAACAGATTTTTTTTCAACCAAATCGTTATTTTTAACACCTTGACACGTGGTTCGATCACCAAGTGAACATCTTCAAAGAGGAAGATTAAAACTAGAAACTAATGCGAGCTAGCCCTATTTATGCTATATAGGTATGCCATACAGTTAAACCATCTAGGCGTACCACCCATACAGGTATACCAACCTAAACTAATTTTACAATTTTGCCTTATCTATTATTTTACAATATATGTTTATATAAAACAATTTTCAGCTATATAAAAATTGATTTCACAATATTGCCTATCCAAATTTATTTTTGCAATGTGTCCTTATGTAGTAATCAGTAAACCCAATAACATTATTTTAAGCAAAATTGTAAAATTAATTTAGGTTGGTATACCTGTATGGGTGGTACGCCTGGATGGTTTACCTGTATGGGATACCTATATAGCATAAATAGGGCTAGTTCGCATTAGTTTCTAGTTTTAATCTTCCTCTCTGAAGATGATCACTTGGTGATCGAAACACGTGTCGAGGTGTTAAAATAACGATTTGGTGTTGGAAAAAACTCCAGTAATATTGATGTATTTATAGTTATATATTGTCGCTTTTGGGTACATGATTCATTCAAAAAGTATTGACTATATTCATAGAAAATTATACTCATAATTCATACGAATTTTCTCAAATGAAATTAAACTTTCACTTATTTTCTTAGAATTTTTGAGCTTTCATCAGACAGATTGGAATCTAAAAGTTGAGAAATTTTCATTTAAACACAATCTAACAAAATTGTGTTTCAAATTGTATTACTGAATACAATTTTACGAGGTTGTTCTGAAAAGTTTCCGACCTAACAAAGATACAAAACATTTTTTCAAATTTTTTCTATTCTTCAACATAGTCTCTTTTAAACTCTACACACTTCTCCCAGCGATGCTTCCATCTCTGTAACCAGTCAAAATAGTACTCGGCGTTTTTTTCAGCAAAATATTTGTTGACGAGGGTGATTGCCTCTTCATCTCTGTCCTCCGAGCGCAAGTTTCAGATTAAGAAACAAAAAGAAGTCGCTTGAGGCTAGATCTGGTGAGTAGGACGGATTAGACGATTTTCGCCATGGCAACCTCTGAGGTGTAAGACGGTGCATTGTGTTGGTGACACGGGATTTTTTTTAGCGAATGTGGCCTTGTTTCTGCTAGTTCTGTCTTCACCTTGTCATCTATGACGCGTAATATGCTCCTGCAATGGTTTTTTGTTTTTGAAGATAATCGATTGAAATAACTCCATGACTATCCCAAAAAACAGTCGCCATCCCTTTCCCAGCCGAAAAACAGTTTTTGCTTTTTTTGGAGCCGGTCAGTCCACTGTTTAGACTGTATTTTTGTTTCGGCCGTATAATGGTGTATCCATGTTTCATCTACAATAATTATTCGACGCCAAAATTCGGATTTATTGCACCTAAACTGCAGCAACAAAGCGTTGGAAATGTTCATTCAAACAATTTTTTTTCTAACGTGAGCAAATGCGGCACCCAACGCACGGACAGCTTTCTCATGAATAAATGTAGATTTGATTTGTGACGAACACGTTCTTTTGACATGTTCATAACCTCTGCTATCTCTCTCACTTCAATTCGGCGGTCGTCTAGCACCATTTGGTGAACTTTGGCAATGTTTTCTTTGGTAGTTGCAGTTTTTGGACGTCCCGAATGTTCATCGTCTCCTAAACTCTTACGGCCACGTTTAAATTTAGCTGCCCAGAATCCATACTCAGAATCCAACTAATCTTTGATTTGTGTAGGCGTATTGCCTCTCAAAAACAAATATTTAATGACAGCTCGATACTCGATTTGGTCTATTTTCATAAAGACACTCACATCAACTCACTCAAATGACTGTTAAATAACAACTTCGCGTCCAAAATGGCTGAAACTTTGGTGAGTAACTGTCAACACATGACCAAGGAAATTCACTAGCTTTTATTTATGTGTGCTGCCATCTTCATGTTGAGGGCGGAAACTTTTCAGACCACTCTCGTATCTGTCATGAAATTAGGATTCTTCATTTTCTTTTTAGTTTTGTATCTTCTCTGATTCATTTATGTTATCTCACCTTAAGTGAAGCTTCAATCTGAAGAAAATAATGTATAGGTATAAATGGAAGGAAAATTTCCACCATTCATCATATTAATTAGAGATAGAAATGTACAAAAATCCTAATGCCATGTAAAACAAAGAATATCATACATTACATCATGTATCTCGGCTTCATTATATATTTGCAAATATGCAAATTTCTACAAAATATCACTTACCGAATCTCTCATTCTACTTTGATGAAAGCAGATATTGAAGGTTTAGAAGAACACAGAAAAGTTCGAATTTCGAGACATTACAAGAAAGAAATGCTATGCCGTCACATGTTATAGTATACATATAACAAATGAAAGGTCATCAGAACATACCGTATTCGAAATAGGTGTATGGGAACACGATTCTCACCTATAGTTCGTTCAGTATTGTCTGAGAGTAAAAGAATTTCAAGAATGCAAACATGTCGCTACATCAAAGAAAGCAACATAATCGTCTCAAGCAAATAGCACTGCAATTCACTCACAAAATCATTGAGATATGTCTACCCTCTATATCCCTTGAGGACGCCGCTAACGAGCCATTAAAATAGGGATATGCGACAAAGAACGCGAAAACACCGACAAAGAATGCGAAATTATCGCCAAAAGAACCGCTCGATGTTTTTTCTGATATTACGTTTAAGATAATATTAATAGGCGTCGGACTGGGGGTATTAATATAAATTTTCCATTGATATATTCTGTATGATGAGAANGGGAAGAGAATCGCACAGTCGCTTGCGCGTTGCGACCCGTCGCAACGTCAGCAATCGGTTTTAATTGGGGATATAGATATTTCAAATCAAAAAGTATATTTTTAGAAAAGATCAATTTTTGCGAAACGGAGGTTTTGGCTTCCTACTTTTACATATTTATAGATAAAAATGTGGGAATCTTCCAAAGAAGGAAAGAAAGCCATCAACTTCAATATAAACTCTTTACTAAGATGTGTAGATCATGCAAAGAAGTAACATTCAGACGCAAACTGGAAGAATAAGCCCCCTCGAAAACAACTACTTCCATATAAACATTGAATTTCAACAAAAAAAGAATATTTTCTATACAATTACTTTTATATGAACATTTAATTATACAAAAAAACATTTTCTCCTATTCAGTTTGTATTCCAAACATTCATTATGGAATTGAAAAAGTGTTTCTTGTATACTTCAGTGTCCTTCAGTTTCTTTTGTAAGTATTTCTTTTTTCGTATATTGTACAATAGATTTATGTATCACTTCTTTTTTCCATTTTGTTTTTCAATAATATTCAAAACCATAAATATGACATATACTCCTGCTAGAACTTTGAGAAAATAAGTGAAGGTTATACGACAAGTGCTGATAGATCTAATCATGATGACATTTTTTTGAATGGTATCAAGTTGTTTCAGAACTGTATCTTTTACCAAATTGTATATGTCCATAGTCTAATTGGTATCTCCTATACGATCTGTTAATTTGCCTCAACGTGTTTGAGTCGGTCCCCCAAAGTTTAAAAGCAATGGCACTCAACAAATTCAATTCTTTCTTACAAGAGTTGTTGGAAATGTTCATTCAAACAATTATTTTCTAACGTGAGCAAATGCGGCACCCAACGCACGGACAGCTTTCTCATGAATAAATGTAGATTTGA